AGATGGTGAGTGTGGACTCTAGAGAGGGACGTTGATGCTCTGGGACAACAAGTTTTGTCCTCTTGTAAAGGGACAGATTAACGTTACTCCCCGACTGGAAATATTTTGAACAGCCCATCACATCTGTTATTGATAAATGCTAAAGAACAATTGATAAATGTCTCATATGAAAATTAACCATGTTTTTACTGCAAATAAAACCAAAAAACCAAAGTTACTGTAATTAAAACAAGGTAACCACAAATTAACCATGGTTTTGCTACACTAACCATGGTATTTATAGTAAAAATGTGCTTATACTAATAGTAATCAATACACCAAAAAAAACATGGTTACTAAACTTTTACTACAATAAAACAACTGTTAATTTTTGTAAGAGGTACTGTGGTTGTACCGCGGTAAAGTGTAGGACTGAAACTCATTTGAGAACCAATTAATCTGTAAATCTTTCTTTAGATTACAGATTTTATTTCCTATATTTTATTGAAAAAAAATGCAATTCCATATCTTCCCTAATATGCTCTTTGAAAGCAATAAAAAACAAATGTAAATTTTTTAAATGTACTATATATTCTGTGCAAAAAATATAACGGTTAGAGTCAGCGCTGCAGTGCACTGTGCACATTTTAGGACATAAGAGCTGCTCACCCACAGGGACCCAGGTTTAAGTTTGACCTGGGTCATGTCCCAATGCCATTTACCCTCTCTCACCCTATTTTCCTATTTTGTCTACACTCCACTTTCCTTAAAAAGAAAGGCAAATAGGCTGAAAGGTCAAAAATAAATATTATATATAGTTATTAATCTCAATATAAGCAAGAAAATTAATTAATTCATTCATTCATTAAATAGCGTTGAACTGGAATGACAAGAATAGCATCTATCCATATCTAAAATATCTATCATATCTATCCATCCGTCTGTCTGCCTACATATCTTCAATCTATCCATCAATCCGTCCATCATCTAATCTATAAACATTCAATTTTCAGCTGTTTTTAATAAAAAAATAATAATAATAACTTAAGGCCAACATTCAATTTATTTAATTAAAAACGACAGTCATCGTATATTCATTCTTTTGAATTTCAATTTATTCTAATTATACTTCTCAAATTGGTGTCAAATTCAAATTGCAACTGTTTGCCAACTCAATTCAAATGACATTTCCTCTTCACTTCTGCACATTTTTAACTCAAAGCAGTCAAGGTAACTCCTGCCAAGATCACCTCGTTTACGAGCAGCTCCTGTAATGTCTTACACTGGGCTACTGTATCCTGCTTTCTCCCAGGTTGTATTAAATAATAACTTAGAGGGTGCATTAAACATTTAGCACAGTATCCAAATGGAACGAAGCAGACATCTTAATTCAGCAGCTCCTGCTCCAAACGCTGCCCTGTCAAGGTCAAAGGAGAGGAAGCGTAAAGTTGGATATTAAGTCCTGGTAATGTGAATTCCACTCGGCTGCCGCCACAGACCGACCAATCGAATCTTGCACTCGCTGAGAGTCTCTAAAGAGTCTTTGCTTGCTCCTTTGATCTGCACACATGCATTTCTTTCTGCACAGTAAGGCTAAAGCAGAGTGTTTATCCGGCTCTCTCCAGAGGGAACACGGCCAGTCAACCCAACCCAGAATAAAACATTAATGCATCAGGTGATCTCTGTACTGCATCTTCAGGAACAGCCACAAATATATTAATTTATTGAATTCAGACATTCATTAACATGCACGCGGCTGAATCATGCAACCTGATGGAGTTATTTGCCTTTTCATTGCCCGGAATTTCCAAACCACAGAAGTGCATGATTATATTTGGAAAATATGATTATAGGGTTTATAATGCCATACTTCTTGTCGCTCTGTTTTTCATGCATATTAACAAATGCAAACAGAAAGTACTGAATTTGAAAACTGAACATTACTTTTGCTGTTCCAACATGACTGCTTCCAGATTGGATTTTCTTTGGAGACTATACAATGGTCACATAGCCGGGTCTATGTCAAAGTAATTAGTTTGAGGGTGAAATGTCATTGATTATGTTTTAAAGTTGCAGGATGGCGTCACAGACTTATTCTCCAGACAAAAACTTGCTTTACATCATTATTCGCTTCAAATCTTTCCTTCCGCTGTAGCTCTCAAATCTCATTTGCATTTCCGCATATTCAAACATGCCGGCCACAGTGATTTGACAAAAATCATACAAGTTTTAGAACAACATGAGGGTGAAAAGTTTTTTTGTTTTGTTTTGTTTTCTTAATTTAAAAAAGGAAATGCAATTGAAATAGAAAAAAAAATCACTTTTCCGAAAAAAAAAAAAATTTCCTCAAGGAAAAAAACAAATAAATGAATTTCTCAAGCAAATCGGTCTTATTATGGGCATACTAGAAACTTCCAGGCAGACAAAGCCTGTCTATCTTTTTAGAGACAGAGTGAGTGGCACTTGCCTAAACATAAACTCTTCACCTCATTCGCTTGGAGAAAAATTTTAAAACTGAATCACAATACCACACCATTCTTAAACAAACCATGCAATTGAAACCATCACACATGACAAATGTGTGAAACAGGTTAAATAATTTGTTAAAATCAGTTCTAACTACGAGCAATAGCAACAGTGATTATTACTACTAATAAGCACATTATAGATGGCTTTGAGATGTAATCACTGCATATATACAGATAGACTGAAACCATGATACTGCTAGATCAAACATCTGAACCTCTAACATTAATGAGAACCATCTGTTTGGGAGCTACTCTTCATGAAGTGGGTAAATCTAATAATATAATACAGATTATACATTTAGGTGGAAGAGATCATATTATACACACAGTTCAATATGCACACAATTTTATATAAAATATGTAGACTTCTAGATAGCAATAACTCTGCTCAGATATGGTTATCACTGTCTTACCAAAGAAGTGTGCATATAATTTGATGAAAAACTACTGAAAACCTGATAGCAGGTAATATGTATGTGTGCACGATGATCATGTAAACAGGATGATGTATTGCTTGAGAGTGGTAGTACGCAGCTCCTGACATTTGCACGATAAGCTCAGATATTATGATTAATATGGTGCTATTTCCTACATTTGCATAATGCACGGGAAGATTGTCATTAACACTAATGTGAATCTGATATCTAAACCTGTCCACTATTGTTACAGACCATCATCATTCGTCCACTGCCCAAAACCAACAGAAATGTAGTTGCACCAAATTTACAACAATGCAGTGCATCAAAGTATCCAACGTTTACTGGCTGCAACTAAAAATAGTGTGTGAAACCATATGCAGTATGCAACAATATACATTACAAATATGAGTTTGGGCCATAACCCTCAAGTCACTATGATACAAAGTGCAACTGTAACTAAAAATCCGTTGTGTGACTAACAACGGATTTTTACAATACATTTAGAAAAACTCTTTAATAAAGAATAAAAAGTCATGAATCAATCTGAAGGTGTGTCTCATAACATTACAAACTTTGATTTAAAGCCAGGATAGAAATTAAGAAAATAAAGTAATGCAAATTACATAATTTTGATAGTTCAGTCATTTTAATATTAGTCACTGGCTATATATATATATATATATATATATATACATATACACATATATATACGCTATATATACATATATATATATATATATAGCAAAATATATATTTTTTGTATTATATGATGCATAGATAGAATATAGGTCGCACATTAGAAGTCTTCACCTGGAATTTGGCAATTAAATTCAAACTTTTAAATACAAAATTTACATTAAATTGAGTTACACTGACTGATGGCTTCAATAGAAGTGTATTTTAAGAATTTATAACCTAATGAATGGAGTATGGAGTACTACTAATGAAATAGTAGTACTGTATGATACTATGACATTGGGAACATAGCCTGCATGTGCTATAATCTGCATCACAATACTGTGCAACATCTGAATTATTCTCATTGCATCTGTGTGGGTGTTTTCTACCCAACAACAACAAGGAAAAAAAGAAACCATATTGAGATATTTTGCAAAACAGCCAAACGTTTCAGGAAAAAGTTGACTACGCTTAATCTATCCTCCTCATCCTCTGCTCTGGAGCGCAGTGACACAGCGTTCCACTCTTCATCTACCACTCTGAGGGATTAAACTGTATCAATGAACAAGAGAAAACTGGACTGTCATTTCTGCTTCCCTAAAGCCTGACAGCAAACCAATGGCCAGAGACGTGGCTGAAGACTATTGTGCAGAAACAGCGCATCACTCATTCACAGCTCAGTTTATGAGCAAATGACTCACTACAGAGAACTATAAAAGAGGTTTCAGGGTATAAATGGGGGAATCAAAGGCACATATACTGGTTTTATAGCCAGGGGTGATTTAAGTTTCACTAACCTTGCATTTTTTAACATATAGGCAGGTGTCTTACTTAAATTTAAGCAAGAAGAAAATAACTCACCTGTTACTAGAGCCTTTTTTTTTTCTAAATACAAAAATCATAGAAATAATAATATTAATAATATAAAATAATTAAATAATATAAATTAGTGTTTATTTTATTTATTTACTATTTAGATATAATATAAAAACAGTAATTATATATATATATATATATATTTACTGTTTAAAAAATAGTAATTATATATATATATATATATATATAAAAAACAATAGCTTACACAACAGCTATAACTTTACGACAAAACCCTGTTCATATTCAAACTCATTCTTCACTGCAAAAGTTTCATTTGAACTTCTATATAAGAACACTGTCATCATCATAAATGAGCAATGAAGCTGTAAGTGGTTTGGCTCACATGGGAATTTTCTGGAAAGTTCTTAATGGACCTCATCTACTCCTTCCTTAGCTTTTTAAATGCTGCCATGGAACCAGTTTCACTGCAGTCCAAACAAACACCTCTCTGCATATAGAAAACCAATCTGTCGCATATTCAAAACATCACGAGCTGCAGATAAAAAGGGAATGGACTTACCCAAGTGTTGTCATGGTGACTATGGTGTACCAGAAGGAGGCTGGGATGCTGGTGAAGTTGGTTCCCTTGGTGCCTTTCTCGGCGTAGAACATGACGGTGGCAAATATTATGATGGCCATGGTGAGGGAAAACAGGAGGAAGCCCAACTCAGAAGCGCAGCTCTTCAGAGTATAACCCAGGATCCGCAGGCCTTGAGAATGGCGCGAGAACTTGAAGATCCGGAAGACGCGGAACACCCTCAACGTGACGAACGCACCGCTCACGTCCTCGTTCTCAGGCATGACCAGGCCAATGTAGTAGGGCATGATGGCAACAACATCGATGACGCTCATGACCGAGCGCATGAACTTGCAGCGGCTGGGCGCGGCGAAAAGCCTCATGAGGTACTCGAACGTGAAGATGAGGACGCAGGCCGTGTCCATGCAAAAAAACGCCAGCGTGTACTTCTCGCCGCAGGGCAAGTCTTTCTTGCTGCCTTTGAGGGGTCGGCAGGGGACGGTTTCCACCACGTTCGCTATGACCGAGACGGCGATGAAGAAACCCGTGACGTAGTAGAAAACGAGAGCCATGGTGCTTGTGTGGGGGTTTTCAAAGGCGCGCCACAAACGTTCCCGAGATGTGCTGTGCGGCGGAAGTGGAGTATCCGTCGCATTCTCGGCCTCCGTGTCCTCAGCCAAACGTTCCTGGTTCTCTTTCTTGCGGTCCCTGTACTCTTCCATGCAGCAGTCGCCAATAATGTCCGGCACGATGCCGTAAAATGCCAGCTCCTCGTCAAAGGCCTGAATGCACTCCTGCCTCGGGTAGTGAAGCTTGCCGGTTCGGTAGAAGTTCAAAATGTGGCGAAACATCTCCGGGTCCCTGTCGAAGAAATACTCCTGAGTGTCCTCGTTGTAGAAAAACTCCTTTTCCGAGCTGCCCAGCAGAGTGTCGGGATAGCGGTCCAGCGTGTTTTTCCATGTCTGGAAGCGGATCCCGCTCACGTTCACGAACAGGATCTCGTCGTTGCGGCTCTTTTTGTCCACGGGCGGTTTGGGCATGATTTTCTTGGCCAGAGGAAGCCAGCCGACGGCCGCTGCCCTGGCAAACGGTAGCCATGTTGCCACTCCGGCAGCCATGTTTAATTTGGTGGCTAAGCGTTGCTAATGAATCAAATACACCAATGGGGAGAACACCAGTCAGTCCTGAGAAGCTTTTCTGAACCTTTTTGGACCAGAAAGAGTCTTTCCAAACTAATCATCCGAGCTGAGGATCTCAGACTAGTTCCTTGCTTTGTCTGTACATTTAATAAGCTAAGAAGAAATCCTGTGAGGTAAATGGAAGTAGGCGAATGTTTTCATTATCTACTACAAAAAATATGGGGCTGTCAGAGTGTCAAAGCCATTTGAATCTCAGGATCTCCATATATCAAAAATGATTCTGAAATGACCCATTAAAGTTCATCATCTCAAGTCTTTTGTTTGCAGATTGTGGCTGTTCAAAGAATCAGTTCAGCCATTGAAAGGGTTAACCCTCTTGGCCATTTCTTGCAGGCTCTGCCGGAGAATACTGATTTGTTGCTGCGCTGTGCCGTTTCAAATTTGTATTAGTCTGTGATGAGGCTTTCTGAAGTTAGCAAGAAGACTATTTCTCCTCTACTCCATTCTTTCGTTTGAATGTGTTCTCGCTCCTTTTTATGCCATTTCAAGACTCTTGCCTTTAATTTTTCTTTTCTTTCTTCGAGCTTCAAGTGGCTACTCAGTCTCACAAGAGGCTGAGAAGATTTTCAAACGGAGATCTCAGAACCGCAGCCACCTGGACTCCAAGTATGGCCGTTCCTTCATGCTCCTGTCAGGAAACAGCACAACAAATCCTTAGATGACGTCTCAAAGCAACATGGGACGCAGTAGCTACTTTCGCCAGCTTGTTTTACGTCAGAGACTGTTAAAATAAACAAACTTGAGTCTGTTAGCGAGAGTCATTCACACTTTGTGCTACACAGAATACATGTGCCATTACATTTTACATATATAAAATAGGATACACGGAAATACATTCATAAATTGCTTATAAATATATATCTATTTATATTACTTTATAAATAATAAAATACTTTGCATAGAGAGCTATCATTTTTCAATGCAATCAGAAAAATGCTAAGTAGTAAATGTTCAGGTTCACAACAATCAATAAGCAACGTATAAAGTCAATCAAATAATGTGTTTCCCCACTTCTAAGCTAATGCAACTTCCTGTTGCATCTAAATGTCTCAGTATGAAGAACCTCCCTAATCCAGAATCAGATTTTAAAACCAACACAAACTTTTTAGGGTGTCATCACATAACCACACGGCTGTCGGAGGACAGGTGACCCAGCCCAGTCCCAACATAATGCATACAACACGCTCCACAATCAAAAATCAATAATGCATTACTCTACACCTCCTGCTCCATGCGCAAGAACATGCATATAGAAGACAAACAGTAAATTCTGGGTTTACATTAGCACTAATGCAGCTCTGGAGCAAAACACATTAACCAACTTATTCTTTCTTTTTTCGTCAGACGAGAGTGTAAACGCAAATGTAGGTGCTTCTAAATTTCCTTAAATGCACATCCCTAAAGTGACTCCCAAAAACAATGAGAGCCGTAAATAAAACGACATAAAAAAGTCAAGCAAGTTGCCAGCAGTAACGATAAGTAATGACTTATCTTTAAAGACTTGTTACCTCTGAGACAGACGAGAGGAGGAAGAGTTCAATGTGAGGGAAAGCTGATGAAAGAAAGAAAAAGGAAAGAAACAGCAATCTCTCTGCAGCAGTCCTGGCATCTCGCATGCAGCTTGTGAAGGAGCGACCGTAACGCCTAGTCCTCCTTGCCTCTCTCTCCTCTCCTCCGCTGCTGTGTTGCATTCGTGCGCTGCCTCTCTCTCTTTTACTCTCATTTGCTTGCTCAACCTCCCCACCCTCTTTCTCTCTCACACACTCTCTCTCTCTACACTTATACACATCCATTTAAAGCTTAATATCTCTTGCAAATGCATCCTGCCCTACAATGGGTCATAGAGAAGGAGGCAATAGCTCAGGTTTCACACAGCCTGACAATACTAGATCGCACAATCTTCTTGTGCCCTTTGTTGCAGCTTACTGCATTCAGACACATCGCATCCTCTCCTCTTTCAACAGATTGTTTCATGTTGCTCCACCTCTCTCGGCAGTGGGAGCAGCATGAGAATTTCATTCTTATTTCAGTTTCCTCAACTGGTTCCGAGCACAATGGGGTGCCATCACACTTCTGAAAGATGGAGAATGTATTAAAATCGTTGACGAAAAGCTCTGGGAGATGCTTTGGGAGGTTTACAGTAATGATATACAACATTGTCCAATTTCATTTCAGCAATATTGGGAATGGCTTGTTTGGTATCATAAAATTGTATTATATACAGTAGATTATCAGTCAAACGTCTGGACACACTTTATTGAATTTGTGTTACATCTTTTGACGTAAAGCAATGGTTCTCAAACAGGAGGCCCGGGCTCACTAGGGGGCCTCAGTAAACACCCAAGAGGGCCTTAAAGGGGTCATATGATGCGATTTCAAGTTTTCCTTTCTCTTTGGAGTGTTACAAGCTGTTCGTGAATAGATAAGATCCCTAAAGTTGCAAAGACTAAAGTCTCAAACCCAAAGAGATATTCTTTATAAAAGTTAAGACTGGTCCACGCCAGTTAAAATAATTAAAACTATGATAAAACAAGTATTAAAATAAGCTAACACAACTAAAAATCAAGATTTTAGATCACTCTGCAACAATTTTTGTTTGTTTGTTTGGAAAAGTCAAAATCTTAAAAACTTTTTTTTTTGGCCAAGCTCTAAAATAATTTAGCAGGTAAAAATTGATTATGAGTAAACATATACATACATACTGTATACATACAGTATATACACATTTCTATAAATATTCATTTATATACACTACCGCTCAAAAGTTTGGGATCAGTAAGACTTGTAATGTTTTTTAAAGAAGTCTCTATACGCTCATCAAGGCTGCATTTATTTGATCAAAAATACAGAAAAAAAAAAAACAGTAATCTTGCAAAATGTTATTACAATATAAAATAATGGTTAACTTTTGAGCGGTAGTGTATATTTTATATGTATCATTTTTTTCAGTCTGTTTCTCATGAGTTTGGTGCTCACACTACACATAGTGTGACTCATTAAATATAACTACAAAAATAAAATAAATAATAATAGTGATAATGTTATTATTGTATTTTATTTGTTTTATATGTTTAAATAAAATAAGCAAAATAATAAATTATAAGAATTATAAAAAAAAGTATTAAATAAGTCATAAAGGCTGAAAACCACTGATCTAAAAGCTTCTTAAATGCTATACATTTATTTATGATGAGAGATAAATTGTTCCTAAAAATATATTTCTTTGCAAAACTAAAATTCAAATTGTTAAGGTTAGCGAAGAAAAAGCAGTCAACAAGTGTGCCATATACATACCATATCAAAACATCCCATCATTCACAGCATGAAGCTGGCTGATGAAAGTTCAGACTGTGCAGAGCTGGAATTTAGACAAAGAAGAAAGAGTTTCCATTGGTATAATGTTTTTCAGGGGAGTCATTACATAATTCCCATCCTTCCATTGGTATAATTTCATAGTTGACTTAATATTATTCTAAAATGTAAAAATGGAAATGGGAATGTTAATATTAATGAATGAGGAGGTGTGTCCAAACCTTTCATTGGTAGTATATAATCATACATCAGCCATCTTGATCTCTAGATATCAGTATCGGCCTAATCCATTGAAAACCCATATCAGACAACCACTAGTTTACATTCACAAACTGTTCTTTAGTCTACATACTGTATTATTCATGAGGACAAAGGCTGAATTCAGCAGCCTGACACTCATTCATGTAGCATTTATAACAACTGTGCTTTCCATTCCTGTCTTGTGGATGCAACACACATGCGACTGGGGTCTCCGATGGCTTGTTGTGCTCCACCTAAAATAGAGGGATTTGATTACATTGGCATTTATATCTGTCCTGTTTACCCTGTGGAATTAACCATTTAATGTAATAGCATACTGTACACACATGCACATAAACATTGTCTGGTTTCAATTATAGAGCAGGCATTAAATTTCTCAGCAAAGTGTCACGTTAGGGACAGATTGACAGGATGTGCAATTCCATTTTGAGCCACTAGTGGCACAAAAATTACACACATCAACTCCAACTTATAGTGTCTTTTGGCATGTTGATCCTTTCGATCAAACCTCACTTTAAAATGAAACACTCTCTTGGCTTCCAAAGCCTACTTGAGCAAAGAAACAGTTGCTACTCTAAATTCCCAGTGATAGCATCTGATATGAGGATTGAACTAAAGGAGTTTTCAGGGCGTAACGATTGATTCTGTGGAAATATTGCCGTTTCGATATATATGGAATGGAAAAAACAGGCAGTCTCACATAGGAGGAACTCCTCCAGCACACTGGAATAGAGTGAAGTAAGCCAAGATAATGGCAGAATTGATTCCTGGATGCTCAAATCAATGGATGTGTTACAGCTGGAGTCTTCAAAGGAATCCTGGGAGCAGAACAGGTCAACAATGCAAGAGGTTAGTTTAAAAATAAAGAGAACAGAGCTGTGTTAGTGTTATCGTGCATCTAGTTGCATGCTGCGGTCTTATTTAGAGTCACAAATAACTGCAAAATATGCTATTTATTTTAATGTAGATATTTTCAGATGTAGAGCTGCACATTGTGCCTCATCAGAAGGAGATTATTACAGACTAAATGATGAAATTGTGCTTCACGTAGGGACACACCGAGAACAGAAGAGTGGTAGTGCATGGAGTACAAGAGCAGATCAGCACAAAAACATCAATAATTCACTGATTTTACAAAGATCGTCTGTGTGAAGAAAGCAACGAGGTGGAAACCCAGAAGAAAGGTGAAAAAGAAAAGAAAATAACATAAAAAAAGAAAAGGGGGGAAATGACATAAACAGGACCTCGTGGTTGTGTGTATTTTACTGAGTAGATTTTAATTTCCACTTCCTGTCAGTTTCATGGGACGTCTCCGAAATGGTCGAAAGTTTGCATTAACTAAAGGAAACAGATTGATCATGCGTTCATTGCACTGTATTACTGCCTTCAACACACTGTCATATTAAAGGGTTAGTTCACCCAAAAAGTCTCACCCAAAAAGGTCAGACAGCTCTCAGATTCCATCAAAGTATTCTTACATGTTCCACATATGACATCAAATATATCAAATCGAGACTTCTGCGCAATGAGGATATTTACTTCTTTGTAAGAGAAACAACAAAAATACAACATTGAGTCACTTGCTCCACACAGAGAAATGAATTATTGTTGGAGAAGCTGGAATTACAGTGAGAGCCATTGCGTCATACTTCTGGAGTCTTTCTATGAATGATTGAAGAAGATGGGGAAAAAGCTTTCCTGCAGGTCTCTGCACTTTACTGCAATACTTCACGCCACAATGGAGGCCAAAATACTGTAAGACGCTAAAAATGTGCCCTAAATGTAGCTGAATGCAACTGAAATCAAACCTATAAATATGACTGAGCATACAGTTATGTTTATATATCTCTCTGAGACCCACTGCATAGCAAAATACTTTTTTAAAGCAATTAAACAATACCCATTTTTCAATAACTACGGCTTAAAAACCACACATAACAGCAGCTCACACTCTGAAATGTATCATAGCAGAGTGATAAGAACATTTATAAGAGGGCTGCTCTGAAATGAACAGGGAAAGCTTTTATA